TGCATCCTTTCTGAAAACAATACAAAACTTGAGCATAGCATCTTGTGATCACTCTGCCAGGCTTTCGGACAAATGTGCATAGGCTAAATCACATCATAAACACGCTTATAATTCCTAATAAATTAAAAGAACATATTAAAATATGAGCCTTTACTGTTAAATGCGATTGCCGTTATTATTGAATTTCATTAGTCCCAGTTATGATTTATGCGCAGTTGTTCACGGAAAAGTGAGCAAGACACAACAGTTACAATATATTATGATCGTTAAAAAAGAAAAAAGACATCTAACCGTCATAACCAAATTAGGCTACATTTATTGTCATATTAAATATCTCAATACACATCATTAGATGACATTAAGCACAACTTGTGTAGATTTATTTAGTAAAAAGGCTTGACTGCTTCATTTTGGCGTATATTTATATACTTTTAGCATTTAATCAATCTCAGCATGCGTTAATTTTGTGTCGCTAGACATTTGCATCACTAAGTCTAAATTATGCCTTATTGCCTTTTATGCTTTCTTTGGCCTGCACTCTGGAAGTGATCTGTTAATTATGCTAAGCTTTAATTAAAACTGAAACAAAAGCTGAAACTAAACTATATAAAAACTAAATAAAACTGTGTTCACAAAATAAAAACTAAACTAAAACTAACAACAATATTAATGAAACTAATAAAAACTAAACTGAATTGTCTTAAAGTGCTCTCTTTGTGGAGATAAATGAAAGAAGCAAGATTCTAAGTGTAAATAAATTGATTTTGGATATTGTTGATTTTCTTATTACTTAATTACATATTTATTACATAGTAATTACATTTTACTTAGTGGAACATGAATAATAAAAACTAATTTGCATTTACATCTTCATTAAATGCAGTAAGAATCCATCCAAGACCATCTCCAGACCGTCTTGAGTGAATTTACATCTTGCTTTTAATGTGGTCAGTTGTGACGTCATCACATAAAACACTTTAAGAACAGTGCCTTGACTGATTTGCAAGAGAATGGTAGGATATCAGATTTGAGATCAAATATAAATAAATTGATTTAAAAAAATCAGATTTGAGATAAATACATAAATCAACTCAGGGTTTAAAAAACAGCAGAATTGCATGTTAGTTTTAGAGTGTAACAATGTGTCTGTCAGTTTTTCCTGGCACAGTGGAGGGTCATGTGGGCACAGCTTGCCACTCAAACACACACACACACAAAGAACCTGGATTCATGTCTGAGGGTTACCGAGTTGAGTGGAGTGTGTTGGTGGGGAGCTGGTCTCTGGTCTTTCTGCCATCTGTGAGAATTTTATGCCACAGTGCATCACTATGCCAACCACTTTCATTTTGCTCTCTCTCTATCTTCAGTAGAAGGGTCTGTCAGTGTAGTCTCATCTAGACGTGTCAGCTGAAAGCCTCTATCAGACATGAGTCATATACAGTGAAAAAACTACAACAATGGAATACGAAATACAACAAAGCCTTCCACACAACCTAATACTGAACTGCATTTCTGTTTATTGCATCTCCCACAAACACCCAGACCCTCTTTTCAAAGGCAGTGCAGAGTCTTCATCTACGCCTGGCTGTCCTAATACGCTTTCATGAGTGAAAGACACAAAACCTTGGCAAACACACAAAATTCACTGGCGATGAAATTCAATCTATCTCGCTGTCAATTTGTGGCTTCCATGAAACGAATGAGAGGTAAATCTTTCTTTTCAATTATGAATGTCTCACTCGTCTGGATTGATTATTTTTGAAATGGATGATCCATTATTCATTATAGGGATCGGATAATGACACATGAAAATGCGAAGGAGAGCAGAAGGTGTGTAAAAACAGCCCTTGCGCACTTACTATAGCCTAATAATGGATTTCATATCAAGAATTCTTTATTATATATCACAAAAATATTATTGGAATAATTGCAAATTGCTATTAAAATTACATTATTATTTGTAGGATGTCATCAGACATGATTTGATATCTTTGTATTTACCACTGTATTGTCCGCATATCATCAAAACTCTAAAAATAAAAGTTCCAATTTGAGCCAAGAAGGGTATTTCAGTCTGACATTGTGTCAACCCTGGAACCTTTGAGACTATGCATGGACCAATCTGCTGTAAGTGTAAGACTAGAGCTCAGTAACAGTGACATGGGAGAATAATGTATCCCATTGACTTCTGAAATGTAACAAAACAATTTAAGACATAATGACTATTTACACACTGCAGCTAAATTTGGTTGTCAATTCATCTTTTAATGCTTAATCCTGTTCTGTACACACAGGGTTCAGTAATTTATGGGAGTGACAACTGAATTCTATAACTGAATTGACCCGAAATATGCAGATAGTGCCAGATAGAAATTCTGCAGGGTGTATGGAACTGAAATGAACAACTAGTTGTTAATGACATGTTTAAATGTATATCAGAGCTGTGGTGCAAGAAATCACAGGGAAGGAGGTATATTTCCTTCCTTGTATATCGCGACACGCACCTGCCTACTTTATTATCGGTAACACTTCAGTATAGAGTCCAATTCTCACTATTAACTAGTTGCTTATTAGCATGCCTATTATTAACATATTGGCTGTTTATTAGTACTTAAAAAGCACGTTCTGCATGACCATATTCTACGTTCCTAATTCTACCCAATGCCTAAACTTAACAACTACCTTACTATAAATAAGCAGCAAATTAGTAGTTTATTGATGCAAAAGTCATAGTTAATGGTTTGTTAATAGCAAGAATTGGATCTTAAAATAAAGTGTGACCTTATTATCTCTATAAAATGGATTGCTTTATGAACTGAGCCAAAGAATAACAAGCCCAAAGATGCTTAATAAGCATTGCTTATAATAAGTGGACATGGCAACACTTCCAAACATAAACAAAACATGATGGGTCTGTCAGTGGTTTAGATAAAATCACCGAAATGTTCAGTTGACATGTCCACAAGAGGCGCTATAAGCAATATATTGCTTTTGGGGGGGGGGGGGGGGGTTATTAAAAGGTCCAGTGTTTCTAGTGTATTTTTTGAAAAACGATACAGCATTGCATTGCACGTTTCACGGCACTTTCAAAGTAAAATGTCCACTGTGCTAAAGTGTGCTCAGTGTCAGTCAAATGTAAATGTGACTATGGAAACGTATTATTACATAGTTGTATGTATCACGGCAGTTGAGGTTAATGCTCTATCACATTTGAAAGTAATGTAATGTACCTTAAATCTAAGCAATAGTGTTGACAAAAGCAAACGTGAGATAAAAACACATTTGCTGAACCAACCATGCTGCTTTAGCTTCCCCCTAGGAGGCTTTGAACTCTTTTTGTGGAGTGTCATGACTCATGTTTCAGAAGACTTGTACCCCAGCACTCCACATCGCAAGTGCAATGCTGTACCAGCTGTGCTACCGGGCAAGTTTAGTATGTCAGAAAAGCCATACATATAGATCCGGTTATGTAATGCAAACATCAAAATGTATTAGTTTACAAATCATGCACATGTAAAAGTGTTTTGAGGAGACAACATAGTATTGTGCAAGCAAATGCACAAGAATAAGTATTTATCATTTATTTGCGAATATAGCTGGAAACTGCAGTGAAATATATGTACAGGTACGTTTTTGTAGAAAGTGTAGGAAGAGTCACATATTTCCAATGAGCCTAGGTTGGGTTTCAATGATCTGATCACAAAGTGTTTTAGACACAAAGCATCTTTATACCCAGGCCTATGGGTTCTTTATAAGATAAATCATTGCTAAAGACAAAGTCTTGATTTTTGAAAGTGAATCTGCACTGGTGGATTGATGAAGATTCCAATCAATATTTCAGTTCAGCACCTCCAGATTGTTTTGTGAACTCCAGGTGAAGCTAGCGTGCAGGTTAGAAAATGGAGGAAACATTTCTGGCCCCTAAGTTTCATAAATGTTTAATGCTATAGTTTAATAATGTCCCATAGTGGAGGAAAAGAACATTGAGAACCCGATTTATTTAACAGATTTAAGTTACGGATCTGAAAAACAACATATTTTCAAAACAAAGTTGGTAGACCGCCTGAATGACTAGTCAGTCCTAAGTAAGCCCTGTCTGAGTTGTAGCACGGGGGTAGCTTGTGGGGATGTGGGTTTGAACCTGGCCTGGCTCATGTCTCAGTTGCATTCCCCCCTCTGTCTCCCTATTAGGGTTGGGTATTGTTTGAATTTGATCAATTCTGATTCCAATTCCGATTCCAATTCCTCTTATCGATTACGATTATTTTCGATTCCCAGTTTCGATTCCAATGTGATTAAATAATGATATCAAACATTTATCCTTAACCATTTATTGGAGCGGAATACCATGAACAAAAATCAACAGACTACATAAAGACTCTTTAAGAGCTGTTTGTGTGCAAAATAGAACTGCATGATTCTGGATAAATTGAGTTTTTTTTTCTTCCCCCCCAATGAAGTTGTGGTTCTCTCGTGATTCTGAAGAAAAAAAACATTAGACATCTAAACAAAATTACATGTAATTTATGAATTAATGATTAAATAACTCACTCAAGATGTACTTGTTTCATTACTGGATGAATCAGCGTTCTTGAACAAATCTCTTGTATGATTCAAAGACAAATACATTTTAAAGGGGTCATATGATGCAATTTCAATTTTTCCTTTCTCTTTGGAGTGTTACAAGCTCTTGGTGCATAAAGAAGATCTGTTAAGTTGCAAAGACTAAACTCTCAAATCCAAAGAGATATTCTTTATAAAAGTTAAGAGTCAACCACGCCTACCTAAAATAGTTTGAGTTTGTAAGAATTTTATTCCAAACAAATAAATATGTAATTTGATAAAATAAACATTTATTTTAAGTTGGTCTGCAACTAATAATTATTCGATAATCAATAATGATTGCTTCTTTGGATTAACTGATTTATCAGATTTTTTTTAAAAAGCCAGATATTTTTAGTATGGACAGTAGCACACAAACAAACAAAAGATGGACTGACCAGCTGAATGAAGAGGTTGTTTAGCTCTGTCAGTGGCTTGTTGATGAGCAGTAGTTCCTCTGCAGCCTCAGTGTCTTCATTACTGTCTGATCTCTACAAAAAAGAGAGAGAGCATTATTAGATCGAGAAGAAAAAGCAACAGGGAGAAAGCAGGGGAAGCAAATGGAAAAAAATGAGGACAGTCAGTCATTGGGGGGATGCTTAGAGAAGAGAACTCAAGACCCAACGCAGCAGAGGATTGAGCATCTGAGAGCTCATGTAATCATCACAGGAAGTACAGTAGCTTGAAGCTGGTGCTATTTTTAACAGAGACGCTCCTCAGAGGTGCTGGGGTCTCTGCACACTGCCCAGCTCTGCTGCCAGAATGGAACAATGTGTACAGCTCGCTGTCTACCAACAGCCACAACATCTTACTCTTTAGTAACAGCTGTCAGAGAGAAAGGGAGAGAGACAGACAAAAATAGACAACAACAGCAAAAATGCAAAAGAAATGCAAAGATGGTAAAACTAATGACATTATTTACTGTCTTTACATTTATTTTGAAAGATGAAAATCACGATTATGGTAAGGGGCGTTATATTTCTGACGAGTGCTTGCTGTGTTCGGCCAATCACAATGCACTGGGTCAGCTGGCCAATCAGAGCAGACTGCGCTTGTCGGAGGAGGGACTTTGTAGAAAACGAAGCGTTTGAGAGAGGCGGGGCATAGAGGACCTACAATAATGTACAGTATTTGAAAAATAATGTGTTTTTTGAACATTAAAGCATGTCAACATATTCTGTTACACCAAATAATGATCTTTAAAAAAGCATCATACACTCTTAAAAATAAAGGTGCTTCAAAAGGTTCTTCAGGCGATGCCATAGAAGAACCATTTTTGGTTCCACAAAGAACCATTCAGTCAAAGGTTCTTTAAAGAACCATCTCTTTCTTACCTTTTTGTAATCTGAAGAATGTTAAAGGTTCTTTATGGAACCATTTAGACAAAAAGGTTATTCTACGGCATCGTGAAGCACCTTTATTTTTAAGAGTGTATGACCCCTTTAAACTCCCTTTGCTCATTTCAAATATTAATGATGGAGCTCGGGCTGACATCGTGAGAGAAACGGTGAACGCGAGAGGGAAGGACAGTCAGTGCAGTGGGAAAAGTGTTCGGTAATGTCTCGCTCATCATTATCACCCAAATGAATTTGGGTTGCACAGACGCTTTTTTAATAAGCTTTGCATTTCTCTCTTTCGGTCGCTGTCTTTTTTTTCTCTCTGAGAACTGAATTCCATTACATGGTCCTTTTTTGCAATGTCCGTGCATTAACATGTATGGAAGGACGCTGAGTGAAAAACAAAGGCCTTGGGTGGATAATGAGGGTTGAGGAGGAACTGACAGGGGAGTGACTTCCTGTGAGTCCTGTGTGCCACATATTTGACTTTAAAGCGCTGAAGCACACCCGTAAAAATAGCACCGGGAACTATTAGACGTCAAAGTACTGGAAATTGAACATGAACGCTCGCACGCACAAGCTCGGTAGCTCTGACAAAGATGTCCACGGCGAGTAATTATGGGTGGCTGGATGTATCCTGCTGGTATCTGCATAGCAGTTGTCATTGCATAATCTAATCATCAGTGAGGAGAGGATCCAGACATGAACCCCCTAAAAGCATGCCTACGGCGACAGTAGCAGGCAAGCACTCCCTTATGACGGGGGGGCTGGGGGGTGTAGGGAAAGGAGGAAAGAGAGAGAAACAAGGAGGAGCTCAAGAAATGACAGAGTGAGAAATGTTTACAAACAAGAGGATGGGATGGGGAGGGTGAGAAAGGAAAAATTAAATATGAATGTTTAACTATGAACTACTGGAACGAGAAAAAGAGAATGAGAGGATTAACAGCAGTCTGTGACATGAGAAACGAGAAAGACCAAGAAAAATTAAGATAGGACATCTGCATTAATAATGGCTTGTTTCCACCTGTTTATTATTTGATAATCGATTAATCGGTTAAGTAATTCTTAATCAGATAAAAAAGCCTGATTTTTTTTTTTTCATTTTAATATTTATTTTTTAGTATTTTTATTGCACTGAAATAGATTTTCTGAAAAGTTTGTATCACACTCCAACACTGGACAAACTGGGGATATAAATGGGGATGTACATTTTTATTGTAGATGTAAAGATTTTTTATTTCTGGATGAAGAAGCAGAAAATAGAGGAATAAAGCATTAAATATTTATCAAGATATACACTAGAGGCAGATTTTTTATTTTATTATTATTTTATTTTAATTGTGTTATTATTATTAAAAAAAAATTTTCCATTATCGGTTTTTAGAAATTTTATTTATTAGTTGTTCCAGCCCTAGGTTAAAGAAGAAACAATAGCTTTTGACAATTTTCTGTTCAGTACAGAGTTACCATATCTTAGTGCTTCAAAAATCTCTTTTTGAAGAGAGAAAAAACAAAACAAAAACAAAACTCACTACTTGACCACAGTATCCTAATAGGTTGATGCTGAAGGACTAGTAGACCATCCTGACCCATCTATAATTTATGCAAAAGAAAAGGATAGAGGTGAAACTGATAGAAAATTTGTATGGAGGGGAAATTATTTTGGCACTTTCCCCAGTGGAGACTTTAGTGATAGTGTTTAAAGGAATGACTTTTACTTATATTATTTTCTCTGTGGCACAATGTTAATTAACACAGACCAAAAATGGTCTGTGACAAATAAAAACAAATAAATAAATAAAAACAGGCATCTCAAACCTCCTGACTCTAAAACTGACAAAATTCAGTTTCAATAACATTCAGTGGTTACATTTGTAAACGTATATGGGGTTAGACAGTAAACTTTAAGAAATATTAAATATATTAATACATTTGTAGTTTGTGTTGGAAGGAGACCTTACAATGACAATTGACAGAATAACTGTTAGTTCATGTTGTTAACTAATGTTAACAAATGGAAATTTATTGTAAAATGTTTCCATAATACAGTTTAAAATAATTGTTTTCTATTTTAATATATTTAATGATGTCAAAACTGAATTTTTAGCATAATTACTCACATGATCACACGAAATGAATCATTCTAATATGCCAATTTGGTTCTCAAAAAGTATGATTTTCATCAGTGTTAAAAAACAGTTGTGCTGCTTAATACTTTGTGGAAACGGTGATAGTTTATTTGATAGGATTCTTCAATTAAACAAAAACATATAAATCCTTTGTAACATTATAAATTTCTTGATTACCACTTTTGATCAATTTAATTTAAAATCCTTACTGAATAAAAGTATAAATTTCTTTCCAAAAAAAAAAAGAACAAAAAAATCTCTCTGGTCCCAAAATTTGGAACAATAGCATTATATCAAGTCAATATTTATTACATCTGCACAAACAAATTCACTAAAATGAATTTTTTTAAACTTCCAAATGATACATATGAGAGTATGAGGACAGTTTTGGGAGAATATGTTTGGTTTTGGCTCATTAGAGAAGATAAAGAAGTACTCTGCTCACTTAACTATAAAACTGCATGTGAAATATACTGTGACAAAAAACAGCAATTTAGACTTTTGTCACACTACATTGCTACAGTTTGGAAAGAGTGGTTGGTAACTGGAAAAGCTACAGTGTTTGCTACTAAGTGTATCAAACAAAAGTCTTTTTAATCTTCTCTCTTAAAAATACCTTTCACAGATTCAATAACACAAACCCTATGATCTTTGGCAATTGTCATTTTTGTGTGCAATATGCATCATGTGGGCCACACTGGGTAGCACATCAATGGCTGAGACTACAGTTTAATAGGCTTATTCACAAATGGGCATATTCATAAATTTAAACAAAATTGAAATCAGAGACAGATCTATACAGTAAGGAGGATAGAGGCCAATAAAGAATATGAGACAGAGAGACTGTCCTCCCAATTACATAGAAACGTACTTGGTTACTTACGTAACCTCGGTTCCCTGAGATACGGGAACGAGTACTGCATCGCTACATGCTTATGGGGAAAACTCATTTTTCGCCGAGGACTGAAGACTTTTACAATCATTGTAAATATCTCAGGGAACTGAGGTTACGCAAGTAACCGAGTAGGTTCCCTTTCGATACTTCACTCGTACTGCATCGCTAGATGCTTATGGGGAACCAATACAATCCCGCCGTGCCATTAAAGAGGAACAACTGACACAAACTGGCCTTGAGCATAAAAGGCTCAGAGGGACCAATTATAAGCAGGGCGAGCCCTGCAGTGGCAAGAGGCTGAACTCACTGAGGTCAGCCCAGTCTTGGATAATCGTTCCAACGGTTTCATACAGCCTCAGCACTACTGAAACGGCCAAGAGCATACCTGAAAAATTAGACTGCCTTAGGCAGGTGCGCATCCATTTAAGCAGATAGAATCCGAGCCTGCAAAGCCGGAACCGCCAAGATATAGAACCTGGTGAAAGTGGACAGCGAGGCTCAGCTGGCCGCATCACAAATGTCTGCTATGGACATGCCACTTGACCATGCCCAGGACGAGGCCAAGCCCCAAGTGGAATGGGCTTTGACTCCTATGGGGCTCTGAAGACCCAGGGAGGAGTATGCTAGTGCGATAGCGTCAACTAACCATTGAGAAATCCTCTGCTTTGTGACCAGGGACCCTTTGGTGTGGCCTCCAAAGTGTACGAAAAGTTGTTCCGACCGCCTGAATGGGGCAGAACGCTCTATGTAAATTCTAAGCGCCCTAACCGGGCAGAGAAAGTTACACTCCTGGTCCTTCTCAGGAGGAGGAAGCGCAGAGAGAGTAATAACCTGGGTTCTAAATGGGGTGTAGAGCACCTTAGGAATGCATCCCTGTCTTACTTTTAGGATGACTTTGGAGTCGTTAGGCCCAAACTCAAGACAGACAGGACTTACCGAGAGAGACTGCAAGCCACCTATTTGTTTAACTGATAGTAAAGCTAGTAGCGGAGCGGTTTTTAATGACAGTGTTTTAAAGTCTGCAGACTGTAGTGGCTCAAAGGGGGAGCCCTTGAGGGCTCTCAGGACCGTGGGCAGGTCCCACGCAGGGAACGTGGGGAACCGGGGCGGATTGAGCCTCCTGGATCCTC